CTCCACTCCCACACTCACTCTGACATTGACAACCATTCTCCTCCAGGCCCACACTCACTGTGACATTGACAACCATTCTCCTCCACTCCCACACTCACTCTGACATTGACAATTATACCCTCCACTCCCACACTCACTCTGACATTGACAATTATACCCTCCACTCCCACACTCACTCTGACATTGACAGCCATTCTCCTCCACTCCCACACTCACTCTGACATTGACAATTATACCCTCCACTCCCACACTCACTGTGACATTGACAATTATACCCTCCACTCCCACACTCACTCTGACATTGACAATTATACCCTCCACTCCCACACTCACTGTGACATTGACAATTATACCCTCCACTCCCACACTCACTGTGACATTGACAATTATACCCTCCTCTCCCACACTCACTCTGACATTGACAATTATACCCTCCACTCCCACACTCACTCTGACATTGACAACCATTCTCCTCCAGGCCCACTCTCACTCTGACATTGACAATTATACACCCTCCACTCCCACACTCACTGTGACATTGACAACCATCCTCCTCCACTCCCACACTCACTCTGACATTGACAACCATTCTCCTCCAGGCCCACACTCACTCTGACATTGACAACCATTCTCCTCCACTCCCACACTCACTCTGACATTGACAATTATACCCTCCACTCCCACACTCACTCTGACATTGACAATTATACCCTCCACTCCCACACTCACTCTGACATTGACAATTATACCCTCCACTCCCACACTCACTCTGACATTGACAATTATACCCTCCACTCCCACACTCACTCTGACATTGACAATTATATCCTCCACTCCCACACTCACTCTGACATTGACAATTATACCCTCCACTCCCACACTCACTCTGACATTGACAATTATACCCTCCACTCCCACACTCACTCTGACATTGACAACCATTCTCCTCCACTCCCACACTCACTCTGACATTGACAACCATTCTCCTCCAGGCCCACACTCACTCTGACATTGGCAACCATTCTCCTCCAGGCCCACACTCAGTCTGTCATTGGCAACCATTCTCCTCCAGGCCTACACTCACTGTGACATTGAAAACCATATCCTATACCACTCAACCTCCATACTCCAAAAACACAATTTCATTATCATTTATGTTTCGTAAAATAAAGAAGAAAAAAACATGAATGTAATTTGCAAAACAACAAAGTATGTTTTAAAATTGTTTGAATATTAAAATTACTATTAAAATTTAATAAATAGTTAACTGAATTAACCAGGTAGGGTCTGATACAGTTGGGATGCAGCATTTTCATATAACTGTAAAATTAGGTATTATTGATATTATATCTTTTATTTTATTTATCATACTAGGTTCGTACTCGTATGTTGATGGAATTCGCAAATCTTTCTGGAATGAATGTTCTGCTTGTTGGACCACCGGGGGCTGGTAAAACGTCTCTTATCAATGATTTCTTGGATAATCAAGGTAAGCATTAGTTCTTCAATGGTTTCCTACAACAAAATATTAAGTTTCTCCATTTGTGTTTATGTCATATTCATATTAGATGTAGTATCAGTTTGATTACATAGCATGCACACATATCTTATTGTGATCCCAGTTTAATAATATGTTAAAACATTTCTTCAATCCCAAAATAATATTTACTATACATTGTTTACATTTATTTATACTTACATTATGTCTTTGTGAATTCCAACATTTTCATCTTATTAGTTCCTGTCTATGACTACAGTATTTTGATTTAATAAGTCCATCTATTTCATTTCAGATACATCCAATAATGTGACTAAGAGACTTGTCTTCTCTGGTGCCTCCAAAGCACTTCCCATCCAACAGTTTGTAGAGGCAAATATTTTTCACAGACAAGGTATGATTAGTGCTAGTGAGAATAAGATTTAAATTCTCAGTGATGTTGTTGTTGTTAGTCCTCGTTCGAACGCAGTTCGGACACAATCCGAAAACGAGGACTTATATTTTGACCTCCGTGTGTCTGTGCATGCATGCATGCGTGCGTGCGTGCGTACATGCACAATCAAACTTCACACATACATCATACATGATATTATACATATGCATGTCAATTTGTTTCACGATCTGATTCAAGATGGCTGAATGGTGGCCATTTTGTGCTAAAAAATCCTAAAAATCAAGCATTTCTCGGCTGTTTACAGATAGATTTTGTTCAAACTTGGTATATACATTAGACATTATGGGACCTTGATGCGAATACTTTTGTTTTTCTGATAAGATTCAATTTTGTTTTAATGAATGTGGCTCTCGTGCCATATCTCTGACTTGCTTTCACTGATTATGTTCAAATTTTAAATATTCATTATACATCATGTCATAGATAAACAGATATATTGGTTTGACGATCCTATTCAAATGGCCGAA